ACGAACTTAGGTTTAAACTGTGTCGTGTTGAATTTATCTCCTGATAAGAATGACGGGAGCGTACTAGATTCAACAATCATTATAGTTACCAGCTCTTGTTTGACGGTAAGAGCTTTTCCCGACTGGGAGTTGAGACCATACTATGTTCCCATATCGATTTGATGAGGACGAGGCTAACTACCGACAGATACACTCTAATGGCGGCCCGATGGCGAACATCTAAAGCTTAGGTTGGAAGCTTGCATAGCTTATTAAGGGGCAAATATACGATTAACGTATACGAACCAAGGACATGGCTAAGGAAATATACATGTCAAGAGGCCCGGAGAAGTTCAGAGCTCTGATTCGTGAGGTATATCAGATTAATAAGAACCTGATCACCACCACCTACGCCATAGGACAACGGGGTTGTGGGATAACAACGAGCTAGTTCCAGTTGGCTCAGCTGTGAGGGTACTCACTATATTCCAATCTCCTAGAGGTATACGCCAAATGGAATCCGTATTCAAGATGGATAGACTCTCACTTACCGCTTAACAAATACTCCTCACATTCCTATCACTTATACACCCATCTCCAAAGAGAGCACACTAGGACTAGAAGCCCTTGAGCGCAATCGAGGGCAGATACGCATATCGGAATAGGGGTTAGGAGTCTTCGTTATACTTCACCAACATTTGGTTTCCGGCCAATCAATACCTTCTGCGGATAGTAGGGGTGTAACTTCTTGGATCGCAACTCGCGGCGTAAGTGTGTGGCATAGACTTGGATTTCCACCAAGGACCATCCCATTACCTTGGTCCACAAATAAGTCACAAACCCTGCAAAAAGGTAATGTAAGCGAAACTGATGCGCGACAGTTCTAAGCCCATCAAGGAGATCATACCTTCAGCGTCTTGCTCAAGGGCGGCTTGATTGAAGTGGCCAATCTCTCTTTCCTTGGCATCCGCCGGCCAAGATCCCAGTGGTGTCTAGAGGTGATGAGTTAGATGCCGTTACGCAGGTCCGTTAATGTTACATACCTTGAAGTTGTGCTCCCGGATATCGACGAAGCCCGCCTCTTCCATGGCCTTCCTCTGAATATCCTCCTCGACGACGCGGAATGTGCGGCCGTCATCTTTTCCTGCCTCTCCAAACACTTTACCCCATTGGTCCAGAGCGGATCCCTCAGTAACCGTGCCGTCGTCGCTAGTGATCACGGCCGAAGATTCCTTGGTCTCAAAGTATCCACCAGGCTTCAAGGCCGTGAAGACTTCCTTAAACAAGGCAGGCCAGTCCGGGATGGCGCCTACTAGCCAACGCATGTGGATATAATCAAAGCTGTCAGGTTCGTACGTCCAAGGCCGCGTTACATCGTCCACTTCGAATTTCAGGTTAGGCGGAAGCCACTGGGGCTGCTGTGGTGATAGATCAACACCAACGACCTCGGCATTGGGAAACTGGTCGGCAAAGTCACTGGGCCGGGTTAGCTACTGGTCAACTAGAGAAGGGGGTAGGATAATCACATCGCCCATATTCCTGTAAAATACGTGTTAGTATTTGAACTGTCCCGAATTATATCAAATCTGACTCACCAGTACCGCAACCGACATCAAGCACTTTCTGTGCTACGTTTAGAAAAACAGTGAAATAATACGACAGCGAGGATCATCCTACTTGAACGTTTTCACCAATTGGAGCTAAGAAAAGCTTCCCATCCTGAAGTAGGGTTGATACGTGATGGCTATTGTCAATTATTAGTATTGAATGAATTGTAAAGCCGATAGGATCAAAAGCTCACAGGATGTCCATGGATTCTGAATGTTGGGGATCATTTGGGTTCCTTGAATCGGAATTAGCATTGATAGCGGTAGGTACCTAGGTAGTTTATATTACGTTAATAGAGAGTGAATGATTAAAATGGAAAACAGTCGCACCAAGACTGAGCATTGCCGCGTTCGCTATGATATGTACGACCATTGACTGTCCGGTACTCGAGAATGCTAGCAGTCAGCGACGCTGTTGAACTAGCAGTATCCTCCCCGTACGCTGAATCATCGTCGGAGTCGTCTGCAGGCTAAAATTGCAATAGTTAATCACCTCCCCTATATTGATATGAAGGGAATCTCTTCTTGAGTGTGTTGGCATACCGGTGCCCGGATCCAATGCGACGCGGGAAGAATATGGGGGTTCCCTGTCTGTACTGCGGGAGCATCCGTCGATGTTGTACCTGGAGTTGTCGGTCCCGAGGTTGTGACTGGTACTGGTGCTACCGGCGTTGACGTAACAATATTGGTCTCTAACGTCGTGTCTGGCTCTACCGCTGGCTCTACCGCTGGCGGCATCTCGACGAGTTGGTCGGACATGTTGCTTAGTATTTCTCTCAGCTACCTAGGTACTCACTCGCCTCGTGTAAGTGGAACTCTCAAGCCTCTGGTTCCTTGTTTTGCTATGCTAAGTTAGGTACCTAGTATTCCCTACACTCGGCAATTTATCATTCGTCTAGATGACGAAAAGGTAGAATGTTTAGATCTCCGAAAAGTGAAGAGGAACGCTACATATGGCAAGTGTTCTTGCTGGTGGGGAGGTCTAAGGGATAATATATGTTAATTGTGATGTAAATTTGTAAAAGTTTCCCTTAAAGTTAAAGGGGGGCGCCGCTCTTATTTAATACTTTGCACTATAACGTATTCGGCATCTCACGCTGATGAAGTATTTCCGAAATATGACATTAATAACTATAACAGTGGTGATTCGACATCTGCGCTGTATGAAGGTACGTTACTGTAGAATATGAGGCGGGTAAGAGGAGGTGTGATAACAGCCGAGAGGTTGTGAACGGACAGGGAATAAGACGCCTCAAATTATCCTCGCTGTCCTCATCCGTTCCGCTAACCAGGTCTCAGTCCTTTGCTAGCGGTCTCTGATCTCTGGCCCAGCTCATTGGAACAGGTTCTAGGTACATAAGCCGCCACAATACTTTGCTTGCTACGTTATGATACATAGCCCCTTGTTGTATTGGACGAGAGCCTGCAAGTGATGGCCCGAATGTTACACAAGATCGTCGGTATCGAAGCATCCAAGCCCATCTATTCTGCACACATTCCGCAAATAGCAGTTAATACTTGGTATTTGAGAACTTGATTTGTCCTAGAACATTTCTTTTCCATATCTCCATATCATATTCTCCTTTCTATTACCCTCCTATCGTTCGCTCGTCTGAAATTACGTTATTGTCGGTAGAAAAACAATCTTCAGCTGAGCAACATTGATAGATATCGATCAATATCGATTCGATGGGGGTTTATATATATCTTGGAAGGATCCCTCACTGGTCGAAGTATGCCAGCTGCGACGACCTGTCATGTGTCATATGTCACAAGTCACTCGTAGCCTCGCGTTCACACCTGCACACACCGCTGGAGGCACAGCTGCCATGTTAATCGTGGCTCGTCGAATCTTGACAACTTGCCAGGATGCAGCTGGTCGCCAAAAGTCCCTTTCCTAATTTCCACTGAAGCGCAGATGGAAATGCAGTTTGCTCAGGGCTATGGCATGGGACGGCCCGGTTCGTCGGCGCGCTCTTTGCTTTTTAAGGCGTTGGTCTAGATAGTCTGGCCGCATCCTATCACATACACTATCGATATATGTATGTACGAAACTTTTACCTTACATTAATACGTCCTAGAATTGTAACGCAAGGCAAGTGCCGGATGATGTAGCCGAGTTGATGTAGCCGAGTCGTTAGACTCATTATTAAACTCTCTCTTACTCAGTGGTCGTGAAGTGTTGATAGGAAACCCCTGTAAGCTGAAAAGCCATCAGGGAGGTCTGGGGCTGTTAACGGTTGCGGGGGTTCAATTCCTAGTAACCTCAACTGGTACAGTGTATTAGCGCTTATAAGCCGTGAATTTTCTCGGCCGTGTCGGGTCCGTCGAGTGCTGAGTCTGGAGCGATTCAGTCTTATTCCTTGTATTAAGTCGTTTATAATATTTGGGATAGAATATCAAGGCCGTTTAGCTCGAAGAGAAGAGTTCAAAGTATACACAATAATGTACGCTTATAGGTGTGTATCCTTACATACATGTGATATTTCCATATGGAGTATCCTATTCTATTTTTGCTTAACCCTTACCTTAGGGTATTGGATAGGTACATATACCTATCGCAAAGGGTGCATATGTATGGATAAACGATATCTACGGATGTGCCCTTCAAAAGTCTTTTCCATACAACGGCTAGCTGCCAGCTAATCCCCTGCACCCGGACACCTGTGACAACAGCTGCCAGAGCCTAAGACCCACAAAATCCACTAAAGCTCACACTATTTAGGTAAGGCCTAAGTAATATTGGGCACTATAAAATAACGCTATGGTCGCTTAGGTGCCTTTGACTTTAGCGACTAGACTTCGGCAGCTGGAAATACAGCTGGTAGGGATCTCTTACCCAGGTGGCAGCAAGTACCATATGGAAAAGACTTTTGAAGTGCACATCCTATGATTCCCTAGTGGTTGTTATAAAGCTTAGGTTTTGTATAAAGCTAATCTACTTGAAAGTAAAGCTAATATATTGGTGCGTGTACTACGTAATTCAGGATCCACAACCCGTACATGGTACTGACTCTCGTTTATCTTGCTTGTATCGGATGTCCCGCTCATGCCAAGCGCCTGGCTTTAATGATCCGCTTATAATAGGTGCTCAAACATCATATGCTTAGGAGCGATGATACATCTTTTAATGCACGATGCATGTATTAATGATAGAAAAATCTCTACCTCCTATACATAACATTGTATCTACATACACATGATGCACTCGAGTTCTAGAAAGATGCCGCAAAGAAAATTGTCACCCACCCATGTATGTACATATCTCGTCTTTACGTATTAAAAAAGTTTGAATTAAAAAGGTACAGGAACGATGAATTAGGCTGTCAGGACTATAAGGAAGAACAACATTATATAGAAAATCCAAAATCACAATGCATGCACAGGCATAAAGTTGAAGGCAAAAAAGACATTTGCCCACTACTGGAGTCGAACCAGTCATCTCCTCATAGCCTTCTCATTAGTAAGCGCATGGATACTAGTGAGGCGCATTACCGCTGTGCCAAGCGGGCCTTAAATGAGCTGAGTTAGCAGCTGTGATCGTCGAGATCTTAAAAAGAATTATATGTCATTAAGGTAGCAACTACCCAATCGGGAAAAGTGTAATACCTATTTAGGAAAAGCGTCTCGAGCGACTTAAGAAGCCGTACAGCTGTCAACACTACAGTACGTTATTGTCTTCCAGATCATGTTCCACTCTGTCGAAATTCAGACAATCAATGGTCACTGTGGATGTTGCAGGCGAGACACTCCACTCTATCAAGGTCCCATTATACTCATCCACAGTCAGAATACTGTCAGAGGAGCAAAAGTGTGGATCCGATGAGACTGAGAAGTACAATCTATCAATCAGCTAAGTGAGCCATTCATGAGCTCACCTATCTGACTGGTCTTAAGAACTAAGGCTATTTTGCTCAAGGACTCTCATTGCTGGCATGGTCTCTATCAAAAGGGCGAACGTCTCGATGACTTCACAAGTTTCTAGTGGCTAGGGATCACGATGCATGCCATCTTTCTTTAACAATTCATAAGCCGACACTAGGGTAGAAATAGAGGTAGATTGCCTCGTTATGTATCTCTCAAAATTTAGATAGGAAAAAGAGATATGAGGGTAGCAGAGTACAGTCTGTTGACGATCCCTTGCCTAAGAGGAGGCATCAACTAACATGTAGACGTGACAGCTTAATGCCGGTGGTTCAGCTCCGGGTTGGGGTTGGGAGTCCGCTGATGTATTGCGCAAATGGTAATTTCAACATGCCAGTCCGCTTAGTGGCGCGAGATCAACGCGAGAGGATTGCCAAGATGACTACGTGAATATTTCTCTATTGGTGCTTTAGTCGTGAGAATGTAGTTCTTAATCAACAAACGTCTACCCGAAAGGACAGCCTTCCCATCCGCTGGCCTTAATCCTCTTGGCGTCATTCTCAATTTCCTCAGTGCCTAAGCCCATACGGTTCTCAGGGCCTATATCCGTGACCAAGTAGCCCTGGGGCATAAAGTGCTCGGGGTCATCGCCGGGTACCTTGCCCCCATATAACCAGACGGCCCAAGCCATAGGCCCCCAACGATTCCAGAAAGTCGGCTTGATGTAGAAGGGGAAGTTACCGTACGGGATCCGCTGTGTCATAAGCCCAGTCTGCGGATCCGGATCGTATTGCCTCTTGAGCTCGAAGAAGCGCGGCAGCGTTAGGTATCGTACGACGAATCGCCGGACCGTAAGCAGAGAGTAGACCAAGGCGCCCGCCGCAACGTCAGGTTCAGGTAGCCTAGCAAACGTCAATTGTTAAATTTTACCACCGACAGATGATTCAGGAAAAGGAGAGAAAAGATAAACTGAAAAGAGAACGCCATCGGGTGCAACTGCAACGCTCGATGTAGTGTAACACCCCACGATAAGCGAGTAAGGGCTGCAGAAAGGGGCTGAGACTTACATGAAAGCCTCCCTTACTCTGTCGCCCAGGAGGCTAATTACGACCTGCGTCACGAACGGTTTTGCAAACCACGGCACCCAGTATGTAATCATAGGTATCAAAGCCCTGGCGGGTTTGGCACAGACGGTGCTAGGCTTCATGGCAACAACCTCGTATGCCTTGGCCCAGGTCGCGATATCGTCAGCGAATTCGACGCCGTCGCGCCATCCCGTCTCAGCCCGGGCTAAATAGCCCCTGTACTCTATGCCCATGGCGTCGCCCACGCTCTTCCAGAAGACGCCGTATGCGCAGTACTCCATCTCGTTCATCGGCCGCCACTCATATAGGCGAGCGAAGCGCGGCGGCTCCGTCACGAACACGGATAACGTGTATAGAAGATCAGCGTTAGAGATGGTGCCTTCCTTAACGTACTTGCTGTGCAGGAAGTTCATGCGGGCTAACCCCCGTACGGCTCGGTCTGTGGTCGGCGGGTTGATCATGAATTCCCCGATCAGAGCCGCCGTGTCTTCGAATCTGCCCAAGTTCAGCGGATGCGAATTTGAACAAGACGCCCAGATCCAAGGTCATCCTTTCGATTGTCGCAGCACTTATAAAACAGGACAACGAACAACCCTCACCTTTTCAGACTTCTAACTGGATCCGTCAAGTTTCCCGTCGCTAGGAGCAGACGACTTATGCTCTCTACACCGTACGTCTAGCAGTCCATGAGAATGGCGTCAGCTGACTAACGTGCACTACCGAAATATCGGGCTTCGACAAAGTGCACCCACCTTGAAGAGCCCAAATTCCAGAGCCAGGAAGGTGAACAGAGGCATCTCCCACGAGCTCATGAACTTGACAACCTGCTGGGCTTCGACGGCCGTCATTTTCGCGAGTGATGCACGATCATGGTAGCCGAGCTTCGCGCGTAGGGTCTTCTCCCGCCGAAACCGCAACGCTCGGCATAGTCCGACGTATAGGAGGGCCGCGGGGATGGCGAGCTGTTTCCACGACGCCGATGACAGGATCTCCGACAGCGGTTGCGGCTGTATGATGGCCGTCGCTGCGGTGCGTATGCTGGGCACCGAGAGATTCATGGCGGGAGGGAGGATATGCGGACTTTTGATGCGGTCATCATTCAGGTGTAAGTCGAGGGAATGCCGAGAAGAGACGACGGGAAGGCTAAACTATATAGGACTGGCACATGCTCGTGGAATGTGACGGTTGTTGGCTTAAGGTTACATCGAGTCTCGATGCGCACGCTACACGCAGGGTTACCGCTAATCACCGCTCTCTTTCAGTGTAGCTTACCGTACGATGCTTCAGGCCAGACGGTGGACAGCGCACCATAGACCGGGAATAATCCCACGGCGGAGACGCGGGACGAACTAACGTGCAGGACGACCGTGCAGTCAGGTGGAGTTGAGCCATGAAAAGGAAAAGGGAAGAGGGAAAAAATGGTTAAGACGATCCATAAGTTGGCAGGGTTGGTTACTGATCTAGAAAGTGATAGGCCGTAGCCGAGCTCGGGTTCGTGATGTCTACACGTATGTACCTAGGTAGGTACCGAGGATGCTTGTCTTTGTAGACGTATAAACACAAACGGGATGGGGATCACCAAATCATAGAGATTTCATTGGAATATGAGGTGTATTTAGTGATGCAGTGTACCTCTAATGCCTCGTACGGCTTGATGAACTTGGCTGCGATCTACTTTGTGGCTCATATCCCTTCCCCTATCGAAAGAGGCGCCTCATGTAGACCCAGCTTGATACAAATAGCCTACTGACTCTACTGACCCTAATACCCGGAAGCCGTAATTAAGCATGAAGGCACTGGCCATAGCCCTACCAATGCTGATGTCAGACGGCTAGCGTCACACCTCCATCCGTCCATCAAGTGCTGGGTCTAGAACTCCAACCACAGGATGGTACGTCGAGGAGCCACTCCTATACCAAAGTGCCAAAACATGTGATAATCTTTATTCCTCATCGATAGTTATTCATGCTTCCTTTGTCTTCTCCTTTCTCCCCTTCCTCCAGGCCTTGACCTGATTCAACAGGCCAATAACCAGCGGAACCCCGACCGGTCCAAGTAGTGGCAAATAAACAGCAATCTTATGCTCGTCGGGGAAGTAGAGCTGGCCAACCATACTCTTCTCGAAAAAGGCACGCTCGGCTTCTACATCGGCGATGCGTGCGTGCTCGAGGCCGTCGGTCCCGCCGAGGTTGGAGCAGGCGAGTTGTAAGTGATGCATAGACTTGGCCACGCCATCCGCGACGCTGGACGGGATGGATATGCTCGGTAGCGCGAGGGAGAGGCGAGCTAGCGATCCTAGCGAAGAGGAGGCTCGCAAGAGCAAGTCGGCGGATCGAATGCGCGTGAGTGTCGAGAGACGCATCGGCAAGGGCCCCGATTGAGGGGTACCGAGAAGCGAGAGCAGATGCGAAGTGAAGGTTAGGACGGCTTGCTTTAATAGCTCTGAAGAGACGTGGTTCGTGTAAGGAGGCGGCAGTAGATATACGGAGCCCCATTGCGGTATGAGCCAGGATTGAGAAGTGCCCGTTTCCGAGGCTGTGCCGATCGTTTGATTACCAATGTACACGACGAAATTCACCGTCGGCGCGCCTCCTATAGAGGGCGACAGCGGCCACTCGGCGGCGTTGATGAAGGAAGACAGATCTTCCTTGCTCAGTACTTGCGACTGTACACCAGGTGCAGCGTACAACTGAACTTGCGTATCGATGGTAAAGTTGTGAATAGGTCCTAGCATGTCTAGTATCGGTTTCATATATTCGTCAATGGCGGACTCGATATCCCAGCTGCTCGGAGTTGGTCCGCTCGTAAACAATGAGAATGTCAGATGGTAGGTTCGAGAGTATTTGAGCGACCTTGTCATTCGCTTCGACAGGGAGTCGGCGTAGTTTTGGGACGCTCCCTGCGTGGATGATGCCGCCAGGAGATACGACATGACGTCCCGCTCTTCGGAGAAGGTCTCTCGGAGCTGTGTTGCCAGGTACGTCGCAAAGCCGGAAGAGGTAGCATCCGAGGAAGGTATCGAGTTTGGAGGATATACAATTTCGAGGACGGGCGCCTGCGAATGGAGCGAGGATGTAGCAACGTCGCCAGGGCTTAGTCGCATAGTAAGAGCAGTGTCTGAATCGCGTATGGGGTCAATCGTATGATCTGGGTTAGCAGGAGGTGACACCTCGAGCTCTAGATGGTGCCCTCTGAAGTCGTTCATGTTGTCTAAGGCTTGCTGCGTGATGCGCACGAGGCTCTCGGTTTCCTCGGTTCGTAGAGTCGGCGCGTCGACGACAACTCGTATGGGGAATACGGGACTGCAGGCCTTTGCGGGGACGAGTTAGTAACAACATAGAGATGGCGATATAGGCCAGAGAGATCTAACCCGACCGTCAGCCCAGTCCATCATCTGGCTCAGGGGCAAATCTGCCCGGTATATGGTGGTCGTCTTCCACCATATCGGCAACCCGAAGAACAGCACAATGCACCAGAAGGACGCGATGATGTAAGTTCGTCTTCGGATGTCTGCTGGTTTCTCAGGAGGAGGCTGTTTTCGCTTCGCTGGTAGACTCGTGGTA